GAAAGGAGTTATTCAAACTCTAATGAAAATTACTAACAATTTGTACTAATTTACTTCGTTTTTAAAAAAGCTTGTCGCGCGAATAGCAAACCGATATTTAAATATCTGCATACATACATATACATACATTCCTAACCAATTATGCATGTACGCTGAATTCGCCGACAAGCTTTTTTAAAAACGAAGTAAATTAGTGCAAATTGTTAGTAATTTTCATTAGAGTTTGAATAACTCCTTTCACTAGATGGCTTTTAGTGACTTTAACGAGACCTTAACTTATTTTATTTTATTCACTTAGTGCAGTTTTGACAAAATTTGCTTGCTAAAAAATCTTTTGTTACACTACTTTATTTTATTCCTTTGATTGTATATGCTAAATAAAAGCTTGTTTTTAAAAAATATTTTTTTTACATTATTTTATTTTATAATTTTTATTCCATTTATAAAAGCGTTGTATATTAAAAAGTGCTATTTTATTTTATGAAAAAAATTTTGCAATAGATATTAAAATAATTCAACTTGCAATGAAAGAGAACAGAAGACTTGGCAAGGAAAATGTTTGCTTACGTTTTGTATAAACATACATATGTACATATAGCAGCAGCTAATTTTATTTAAAGAAATGGCGTGTCGTCCATTTCCGCTGTAGCATGGCATATATTTAGGCGCAATATTTAACTTCTTCTAGCGGGGCGACATCTGAAGTCTTTTAATTGTTTCTCCTTGATGTGATGCCTACAACGAGGTTCATATCTAGACTAGGAATAGCTTTGCTACACTACCGCCGCGGCGCGCCGGCAGCTTTAANGCTGTTAGGTGTGCTCGTCCTTAAGTTATTTGTTTTTGTTATTTTATGGACTTATAACAATTATATTCAACAATTTTTAATGAGCGAGAGGCCGTTTTTAATGAAAAACTTATTGTGGAAAAGCAACAATAATGTGAAAAAATGGTAGAAGTGATAGCTATTTCGGAAATCACCACATTTCCTCATCAGACTTCTTTCAGTAGGCTT